GATAGATATGCGCATGTACTGTATGTATATATGTATAAACTGCAAACAGTACTTATGAAACGGAACACTGGAATACTGCAATTGGTAGATGAGGAAAATTCACACAGTGAATAAAGCGCAACATTGAAAAAACTTGTCTCAGTAGTATTCTCAAAAGCCATAATACCTTCTTTTCCTACAATATTTTAGCAAAAGTTACTGATTGCATAGAGTCTACGTTACCTTGGTGGTAAACGTTATGTTACTTCTTTCTTCTTATCTTTCCTTCTGCAGTGATATGCTTGGCCTTCTCCGTTCAGTTAAACGTGTTCACTACACGAATAGAAAGTACTAATAGACGTCAACACGCATTTTCCTGAACACAGATTATATCCTAGGACTACGAGTGTTATTGGAACCTTCTGCTTTCATCTTGCCATATTCAAGTCGGACCTTTTTTATCTTCTTTTGTATTTTGGTGTTACGTTTATTGACCTTTTGTTGGTATTCGTAGGATCACTGGGGACTTGAGTTGGTCAAGCTGCATTTTTCTACTTGCAGTTATATTAGTTATGGCTTCCGTATGCCGTTACAAAATAAACGACATTGAACGAATGGCAACAGCTGATGGTTGTAGAGTGGTGTCTATTTGTAAATTTTCCTTATGAGTTACTGAATGATACTTGGTGTACTCTGAAGATTCAGGCATTCTTAAAGCATAATCAAACGTTTTGAAGTATTTTCTTACGCTTATAGTTGACGAATCATTTCCCATACAGAATTAGAGATACAGAAATAAATATGTACACTGGAGAAACACGGCATTGAAGGAATGTGCACAACTTTTGCTCAACTTTCTGCTAGAAGTTACCCGAGGCTTACTTAAGGTTAACAGGTTTGCGCCTAAAACAAAAGCGCATTAACAATATTATCAACTATCATCGGGAATAATACTGATAAGAGAAAAAAGGGGTTATAATAATAGGAACTAATGGTAACAACTATGCTGATCATGATACCTTTAACAACAAATGCATAAACAAATACAAGTAATAGTATTTAAGACTATGATGATAACAGTATTGATAATAGTGATCATGATGAAAATATGATTATTAGAAATTTAAAATATAATAACAGGAACATTAAGAATTGCAATAATAATAATAAATATACTAGAAATAACATTAACAATAATATAAAAATAAGAATAATATTATGATAATAAAACCAACAATAACAAAACGACAACAATAATAATGGTAATAATAACAGTAATAATAATCACATCGCCCCGATAAACCATCCAAATGAGACCTCAAGCGAAACTGTCCCGTTGGCTGAGTCGCCCCCAACAACCCCACAGGACCCGAGGAGCCACTTCACCTCGAGGGGCCACCACCGCCCGTGATAAACATGTCTGCAACACGCACACACACGCATTTCCCGCAGTAAGAGATTAGCATGGATTTGTTCTTTATGAATTACGAGGGAAATAAAATTCTGATCGATGTTTATTGCAGTACATGTTTGTAATTATTTGTGAATTTGAAAAAAAGGAATATCAATTGTCGGTAAAGCACTTTGTAGGAATGTACATTTTCGTACACTGAAATAATGGTAATAACTATCCAGTTATTATTGCATATTTTTAACAAAAGGATGACGTAAATATTTCCCTCTTTCATTCTAAAAAAAAATAATTTTTGACATTTGATTAAATAGTCCATTTATATCTGGAGACTTATGTTCATTACGAAATACATCTGTTGCCCGGAGCCCCAATGTCAAAGCGTTTGAAATTATATATTTATGATTTTTTACAAATATAGCTGGACTTTTAACATATTTCTCGATCAGTTGAGAACATATAACTTATTCAGTTAAAATAGTGCTGAAGTATGCTCTAGAGTTGCAATTACTATAAAAAAAGTTTAGTTATATAATCAGTGACATTTTTTTTTCTTTTTTGTCTAGTGACAAAATTTAAATCATTTTTATTCAAAGCTTCTTCAGTCTTGTTGTCTTCTGTAAAAATTAATAACAGTATCTATATTATATTATGTATTTTTT